TGTATGTATACAAAGGTGGGTGACTCTAATCTGCAGCCCTCAGGCCTGCCTTTACTTGTTTTTGGTGAAACATTCTTCTAGGTCGTATAACCCTGGTGTGTGCACTTGCTGTACAGAGGTAACTCATGGTCGCTGTGAAGCAGAACACTGTGACACTGATGAGTCAAATGCGAGAATGGTTACCTACAGTGGACAGTGTTTGGTGGAGCTCCCCGTTTCAAACAAGCTTGGAAGCAGGAGTGGCATCCACTTCCATAATAGCTTGCCTCAGGAAACCCTGTGAACCTGGAGAAAGGACGAAAGTGACACAGGTGTCCAGGTCTTTCATTCACAGAGTCACTATGAGTCACCTCTGACTCGATGGCACTTAACAACAACAACGTGTGTGTATATAGAGTTGTTTTTGATGATTGCTTTCGAGTCAAGCACGATTCATAGCAACCCTCTGAACAATAGGCCTGAAGCCCCTCTACAACTATCAACACTTATCAAAGTTCATAGGGTTTCCAGAGGCATGTTGTTTAGGAAGTGGCTGCCACTCCTGCTTCCCAGGTATATAGAGAGTGGTATATAAAGAGTGGCCTTGTGGTAGGAAGCTGCACTATACAGCCAAAGGCATGTGGTTTAAATCCACCAATTTCCACAGGAGAAGGATGGGCAGTCTCCTCCCATGTGGTTTACTGCATCTAAAAATCCACTAATGGGTTAGCCACCAGCCAGTCTCCACTCAATGGCAAATACATATATATATATATCACCTCTATCTATCTATATCTATATAACATTGTACTATATATATTCCATATATATGGAATTTGACAGTGTGGATCACAACAAATTGTGACTAACCTTCAGAAGAATGGGAATCCCAGAACACTTGATTATGCTTATGTCAAACCTATATTTGGACCAGGAAGCAGTCCTCAGAACAGAGCAAGGAAATACAGCCTGGTTCAAAATCAGGAAAAGAACATGCCAGGGAAGCATTCTGTCTCCCTACCTTTTCAATCTGGATATGGAACAGATCATTCAAGAGGCTAGACTTTATGAGGAGGAATGTGGCACAACCTTGCTTGCTGAAACTGAGGAAGACCTGAAGCATTTGTAACAGAAAGTCAGGGACTGTAGTCTTCAATATGGGTTGAAGCTCAACATCAGGAAGGTATTCTTACCACTGGGCCAATTGGCAGCACCACAGTAGATGGAGAAGAGACTGAGATTATTAACAATTTCAGCTTGCCCAACTCCATAATCAATTCTCTTGGTACCAACAGTCAGGAAATCAAAAGACGAATTACATTGGGAAAGTCTGTTGTTGGGAACCTCTCCAAAGTGCTCAAGAGCAATGATGTCAGTCTAGAGACTTAAGTGTCCCTGATCCATGCCATGGTCTCCAAAGTTACTTGGTATGCATCAGAGAGCTAGACACTGACTAAGGATGACAGAACAACAGTCAATGCCTTTGAGTTGTGGTGCTGGAGAAGACAGTTGAACATACCACGGACCGCCAAGAGAACAAACAGTTTTCTTTTGGAGAGGATAAAACCAAGTTTCTCTTTGGAGGCAAGGATTTTGAAGCTCTGTCTCACATACATTGGGCATGTGGCCAGGAAAGACCAGTCCTTGGAGAATGACATCATGCTTGGAAAGGTGGAGGGACAGTGCAAGAAAGGAGATGGATTCACAAAGTAACTGGAGTCACGGGAGTAGGTGTGTCAGAGTGAGTGAGATTGGCTCAGGATAGGGCAGGGTTCAGAGCTATCACAGGTGACTTGATGGCACATAACAACAGCAAGAACAAATTGTGTGTGTGTGTGTGTATGTGTAGAGATAGAGATAATTCTTTTTATAGTGATGGGAAATATGGACCTGACATAGAAGCATATTAATTAGTCCAGATCCTTTGGAGGACATTTTGCTATTGTATGAAAGGTTAGAAACACATGGGATCATTTGATCCAATCATTGCCTGTCTGGGAACTGGAATGACATATGTCAAAGTGTTAACAGCTCTGGTGGCCTAGTGGTGAGGAGCTATGCTGCGGTCCCAAAGGCGCACAGTTCACATCCACAAACGGCTCCATGGAAGAAAGATGGGCAATCTTCTCCCACGCAACTTACTGCCTCTGAAAACCCACTGGAAGGTCAGCTGTGAGGTGAATCCAACATCTCTAAGTAATAGATCAGAGACTTAGTGAGTGTGGCTTTCCAGGTTCCCAGAGTAAAAACCAACCATGCAGCTTGGAACAAGTGTAGTTTTTAAAAAAGAAATTCAAGACTTCTTATAAGCTCTTATGGTTATCATTTTCCTGTCAAGTCAACATACTACAGAGATGCTAAATCTAAGCACATACCCCCTTGTCACCACCCACACTGAGGCAGATGAGAAGCACTTGCATTTTGTATCCTTCCCAGAGAATTATTAGAAGTCCTTTAAGGGAATGGAGCTAGACTAAAAGCAGAGAACATTCTGAGGTACCAGGTCATTTAATTACATATACAGGGCCTTTAAGGAAAAATATCCCAGAACATTTCAAAGTCAAGTTCATGTGTTAAATGGCACAATGACGGTGCTGAGTTACAATGTTAGTATGTCTTTTGTCTTCCTTTCAAATCCTGGGGCATGGTCAGGGGGTTTTGTGTGAAAAGGCCAGTGTGAGTTATATTAGCATTTTTTTTAAATTTGGGTGGACGTTTACAAATCATGGAGGAGCCCAGGTGGTGTAATCACAGGGTGTGCTGCCTCTCTTGTCAGTTCAAATTCAGCAGCAGCCGCCCCCCCCCCGCCCCCGGAGAAAGATGGAGAATCCCTTCGCGTGAGATTTACAGCTTCCGAAAACCCACTGGAGGGTCAGCTTTGAGACAGCTCCAACCTAACAAGAGTGGCGGGGTTTTCTTCACAAATCATATTTTGGTTTTATTCAATCTCTCATAAGCCTTTATTTTATAACATTAATTAACAATTGATGATGTAGTCCATTAATTGCAGTGTCTAATCAAATGACTGGCTGGCAGTGAGTTGTATTGACTCAAACAAGGCGAGTGGCCTTTCTATGAAGATGGTGTCAAAAGCGAAGAAGGAAGCCCCTGCCCCTCCCAAGACTGAAGCCAAAGCAAAGGCATTAAAGGCCAAGAAGGCATCCTGAAGGGCACCCACAGCAAAAAAAAAAAAAAGAAGATCCGCACGTCACCCACGTTCCGGCAGCCTAAGACGCTGAGACTCCGAAGGCAGCCCAAATACTCCTGGAAGAGCGCCCCCAGGAGAAACAAGCTTGACCACTATGCCATCATCAAATTTCCCCTGACCACTGAGTCAGCCACGAAGATGATAGAAGATAACAACACACTTGTGTTCATTGTGGATGTCAAGGCCAACAAGCCCCAAATTAAACAAGCTGTAAAGAAGCTCTATGACATTGATGTGGCCAAGGTCAACACTTTGATTAGGCCTCATGGAGAAGAGGCCTATGTTCGACTTACTCCTGACTATGATGCTTTGTTTGTTGCCAACAAAATTGGCATCATCTAAAGTGAGTCCAGCTGGCTAATTCTAGATACAAATTTTTCTCACAAAGAAAAACAAAAAACCAATGCCAGTGTTTTCATAAGCCATACTACACTTAGAAATTTCAGTCCTTCAGAGTCCCTTTCCTATAAGGATAATATTGTTTTTCCAGTATGTGGCCTAGTGATAAGAACCTGTACCACAATCCCAAAAGCACAAAGTTCAAATCTACCAGCTGCTCCATAGGAAAAAAGTAGGGCATTCTCCCATGCTCAGTACTGCTTCTGAAAACCCACTTGAGGGTCAGCTATGAGTCGGTTCCAACTCCATTGCTCACAAAAGTGATAGACCCAAAGTGGGGAGACAAGCATTGTGAGGGCTCTGAACCCTCCACTTTGCTAACTCCTTTCCTCTACCTGCTTCTACCTTTTCACTGAATTCTTTAAAATAAATCTGAGATAGCATGTCATTCCACCCATAAATACTCCCAAACTCATCTCTAACTAAAAAGCTTTCTAATGAGTCCCTGTGTCATTATCCCACTAGCAAAGTGAACGATAATATCTTAATATCATCTAATATCCAGACTATATGTTAAGTTTCTCAGTTCTTTACAAAATACCTTTTTATAATTGATTGGTATAAATTGGGATTTAAAGTCTGCATGTAACCTTTGATTGGTTGACTTCTCTGTTTCCATCAAAATCATTTTGAAACTCCAGGCATTCAAGAGAGAACACCATGCTTCTAGATGAAGCACAACAAAGTTTTCATTTGCACTTTAATAATATTTTTTTTCTTCTCATTACCATCATCATCATCATGGTTGATGTCGTCGTCATCAATCTCACTTCTAGTGGAACCCTGTTACATAGTTTGACCATCTTATTTACCAGGCACTGTCTTGAAATAGCAAGCTCTGCTGACTTAGTCCCTAGAAAGCTGTACTGCTACCCCGAAGCCTGATCCTTTTTGAATCCACAAGCAGTTTCAAGGGAGAAGGGTGGACAGTCTTCCCCTGTGCAGTTTACAGTCTTGAGAACCCAAGAGGGTCAACTGTGTGTTGGCTCCAATTCATCATCGATGAGGTTTGCATTTTATCCTAGAACAATAGCCTCTGGCTCTCTCCAAAATCAAATCCACCTCAGTGTCCAAATATTACTCCCTGGTGAGGAAAGGTTTTCAGATATGCCTTCAAAAAGAGCCGTGCGTGTCCAGTAGACTCAGAGGAATGGTTCCAAAACGGGTTCTGGGCAGTGGCTCATGGGATACCTCCAGGTGCATTGGCTCACGGGATAGTTCCAGGTGTGTGTCATTGAAAGACCCTCCTCCTCATGGAGAATTTGGAGAGAGCTATTTTCTACCTCATTTGCTGGAACTGGGTGTATCAATGCTGACCTGCTTGACTGGCCTGTTTTAGCAGGGACTCAATGCTTTCACATCAACGTTCAGTGCTTTAACGTCAACACTAATTGATGCCTTTGTTTTCACACAGATAATCGCTTATCAGCCGTATGGGAAATCCGTGGACTGGTGGGCGTACGGCGTCCTGTTATATGAGATGCTAGCTGGCCAGGTAATGTTACATGGAACCTTTCTTTTTCTTTGTTGCTCTGTAGTGTACCCACCCTTGTTCTGTTTAAGCAATGGCAGCAGGGGCTGACAATATGATTTAGCTTATGCTGGTCTGGCTTCTCTTATCAAGTGATAAAAGGAGAAACTCTGCCCTTGGGAATGAATAATAACTTGGTATGCACAGAAATTATCTATTCATAAAAACTCCAAATTGTAAAAAAGACAGCATCCATTGTAGAGAGTGGAGCTTTCACAGATTCCATACTCTGGACAAAAGAACCCACACATTGACAACAGTAGGGGCTTCTGCATTTTCCGGCTCTCAGCACAGGCTGGGTTAGAGTTCCCCGCAAGTCACACTGCAAAAAAAGATACCCCAGCCACTGCCCATGCTTTTGGTCAGCATTACATTTTAAGAGAGAAGACAGTTTGACTTGAAGCTGTTTAATAGCTTCTTCTCTATCTCCTTCTGTCTCACCCTCGGCAACTCACTGTAATTTTCTGGTGAGACAGAACTTCTTGTTAAGGAAAGGCAAATTATGTTTCTCTGATTAACGTGGCACATACCAAATAACTAAGTGCTGCTCAATACAGTACTCTGCGGGCTGTCTTAATATCTGTACCATCAGAGCAAGTGGCACTAGCTTCTGTAACAGCTGGGTCTCCATAGCTTAACCCACACCTCGAGCGTATTGCACAGTCATGGCTTTATGCATGGTAGGGTGGTTCCACAGTCTCCAGAATGTGCTAGTAAGGGACAAGAAATTGGATCCACGCTCTTTGAAGACTTCAGATTGCTCCTCTAGATTCTTCTTAGTCATCCAGCCAGTGAAGAGAGAGCATGAGGACAGTTGCAAAGAATGTTCTCGAAGCCAAGATAGAAGTGACCGAGAGCACTTCTATCTCTATTTCACGAGCCACTTGGGTGTAAAGAGGGTTAGGAAATGGATTTCACCTACGATCTCAGCCCGAGAATGCAGGTTTGGTGAGCAGTTTGCTGAATTCTGGTATGGAAAAATTCTTTTCTAATGCCCAACACTGAAACACTTTGTACCAAAGAGCCCTGTGGACATAGAAAGTGGTCCATTGGGTTTTACCTGAGAAGCCATATCTGCTCTATATCTCTTTAATTATGCCCCGTCCTTCAGTAATTAACATAGTCTTTGAAATGCTAAGAGAAATAAGCCGGTAGTCTTCAGGAAGCATGATGACACAGTTGTTTAAGCACTGAGTGTCACAATGCAAAGGTTAGTGGTCCACAGCCCCAGGCCACTCTCTGGAGAAAGAGGAGGCTGTCTGCTTCCTTAGAGCCTTGGAAGCACATGGGTGGTTCTCCTCTGTCTGGTAGGGTCACTAAGAGTTTGCATCAGTGACAGTGGCTGGCTTGGGTTTTGTGTGTGTGTGTGTGTTTGTTATGATTTACTAGTCTGCATGTAGGGACCTTTAGTGGCCTCGTCGATAGAGACTTGTGCTGCTGACCCAAACACCAAGCCTCTCTGGCAGTTCAAACTCACCAGTCATTTCTTGGGAGAAAGTTCAGTCATCTCCTCCCACGAGATTGACAGCCTTGTAAATCCAAAGGACGGTCACCCATGAGTCAATTGGACTCCTAGCAATGAGGGAGGGAATTTGTATTTGATCATTATTTCTCAATGGTGCTAAGACTTGATTGGCATTAAAAAAGTGGTGTATTATTTATTTAGGTTCCCTCCTGCCCCAATAAAGACAGTTCTCTTGGCACAAACACAGGACCTTATAAACATGGGAAGGCAGGCTTTGGGGAACCACTGGCGGGGCTGCAGCAGCTGCAAAATCATAAGTTCCTGGAGCAATTTCCCCTCTTTAGAATTTTGACGATAAACTGTGACTGAATCATCGGCAGCCCGGGAACCATGCTGTTTGTGTGGGCACGAGAAGCCAAATCCCTTCTCAGCCCCACTTGGTTCAACCCTTGAGCCCAGAAAACAAGCCCTGCTTTCAGGAAGAATCATATTTGCATATGCCAACAAGTGAAATTAGTTGGGTGGAAGCCTAGGATCAGTTTCCAAGGGCATTTTACAAGAGAGAAAATGAGTGTACTTCATTTCCGATCACAGGGTTCCAGCAGGGTCTTCCTGCCCACTCCTCTTCCCTGCCCTCCTTCCTCCCTAAGCCTTTCCAGAACTTCCGGGAGTGTCCTCCTCCTGCAGGGATGTGCTCTTTGGCGTGTCCTTGGAAGTTTTGCCTCTTTTTGGAGTCCTGGTGATACGAGGGGTTAAGTGCTCACTACTCCCTGAAATGTGGAGAGTTCAGTTCCCCCCAGAGGTGCCTCTGAGGAGGGCCAGGTAATCAGTCTACTTTCCAAAGATTAGCCACTGAAAGTCTACGGCACATAGTCGTGTTCTGAAACACTTGGGGAAACATCAGTCAAAAGTGACTCATCCTGGAGGGGTAGATGATTGGTCAACCTATGTGTACCTGCAGACTGATTGACATCCAGGCCTGACTCAGAGACGGTTTCCTGCACTGGGTGCAACCTCTTCACCTTCCAGTAGTTTTTTAATAACCTGCTGGCATAATTTCAGTATTTCTTTATTATTATTATTATTATTAATTTTATTTTGTAAGAGTTTGCAGACATGTCCTGGAGAGGGTACAGCCAGAGTGCCCTTTGGAGGCAAGAATAGTGAGGCTTTGTTACGTACTTTGGACATGTTACTAGGAGGTGCTAGTCCTTAGAGAGGGACCTGATGTTGGGAGGGTGGAGGGTCAGTGAAGGAGAGGAAGCCCCTCAGCCAGGTGGATTGACACGGTGACGGCTGCAGTGGGTTCTTGCGTGTCAGGAAGTGTGAGGCTGGCGCAGGACAGGACGGGGCTCAGATCTTTTGTTCAGAGTGTCACTGTGAGTCGTATTCGACTCAACAACACCTAACAACAACAGCAGTGGTTTACATACCAAGCTCATATACATTGTTTTTCACTCCTGCTTCCAAGAGTCAGTTAACCTGGCTTCTGTGTCTCCCTGAAGTTTTCAGAATCTGTTGAAAACAGTGGTGACACTGATGCTGTTGTTAGGTGCCGTCAGATTGAATAAGATTGAAAGTGACCCTGTGAACATCAGATCCGAACCTCGCCCTGTCCCACACCCTCCTCAGAGTCTCTGATATTCTCAAGCTCATTGTGACAGCCACTGTGTAAATCCTTCTTGGTGAGCGTCTTCCTCTGTGACATCTTGAGGTCACCCACATTCTGTGCAATAGTGACAACAGGTAACAATGACCTTCATGCCTCTAACTCGTTGTAGCACCTGCTCTCAATGCAGTATTTTCATTCAGCACCTTGACTTCTCCTCCCTCTCTGACACCCCGGTGAAAATGTAAATCTATTCCTGGGCTGTGTCTCAGCCAGCGAGAGTGAGCCAGGCTCTGAGGGCATTGTCCGCGGCCCTCCCAGCTGCAGGGGCCTTGCCTTATTGAAAAGGAAGTCTAATTACCAAGTTGTTGTTAAATTTGTCTTTAATCACAGAGGGCAGAGTAGGAAGGGGGAGGGGGGAAATAGTTTATTGCCATTTTCTTCTCATTTGTTTTATTTATTGTCAGCATCAAGGGGACATTTAAGCACAAGCAGCCCCGAGTCTTCATTCAGTTCCTGGATTGCTTGATAAACATGATTACTTTCAGGGCCTAAGTAGGCCTTACCGGGCCCTCTAATGAGCGGATTGCTGCACTGAGTGTTCATGGACGTTCATCATAAAGGATCCAGCCCTTTCTGCGGGGTGATTTGTGCTTTGTCGTCATTCCTGATGAGTCTGTAATGGGTACTTTATCCCAGGCCTTCAGACTTAATTGTGCTTCCATCCCCCACCTCAGGCCATCCATCATCTGCAAATAAACTTCCCTGGGTCCAAGGATCACTTATTATTTACATGATTTAGGGTTCTTTTTGTAGCATTTCAACCATCATGCCTGATTGGTATGCTTAAAACTCACAAATTGTATGTTGTTAAGAAGAGGGTAGAGGTCATACTTAGCTCAAAAATGTTTACACTACCCTACAACTTTTACTCACAGGTGGCTCATCTTGGTATGTTAAGTCACAAGTTGTTATAGTTTGGAAATCATCAGGGGATGGGATGAAAGAGTGGAGAGATTCGGTCCAGAATGGTGCTGTATTATGAACTTGGACCTTCCAACGTCAAGGCTCATCTTCCGACACTATACCAAATAGTTGGTCTTTTTCAAGGTCTGTTGTTTCAGAAGTGGATGACCAGGTCTGCTTCTTAAGCTGTCTTAGTTTGGAAGCTCTGCTGAAACCTGCCCACCTAAAAATACTGGTGGCATAGCTTTCAGCATCACGTTGTTGTTGTTGTTGTTAAGTGCCATCGAGTCGTAGACGACTCATACTAACCCTATGAACGAAAGACCTGAACACTTGTATAACTTCCATCATTTCTCCCAAGTTCATAGGGTTTCCAGGGGCAAGCTATTTCAGAAGTGGATACCACTCCTGCTTCCAAGCTTGTTTTTGGTTTGGTTTTTTTTTCTTAATAATTTTAATGAGCATTTACAGAGATTTTGGATTTCCATTCATTCATTGCTGCACTTCTCTCCCTCCCCAGCCTCCCCCTCCCACCCCCAAGTTCACTCCTCTCTTTCAAAAGCAAAAGAAACACTCCCTCCCTGGCTTGTTTTAAGCGAGAGCTCCACCAAACACTATCCACCAAGAGTAACCATTACCATATTTGACACATCAGTGTCACAGTGTTTAGCATTGCAGCAACCATGGTTACCTCTGTATAGCAAATTGACAGACTAGTGTTATACAGCTTAGAAGAATGTTTGACAAAAAGCAATTAAAATCAGGCCAGAGGGCCATAGATTAAAATGACCCTCCTTTGGCTGATAGCATCACTTTCTGTCCACTAGGCCAACTGAGTTTTCTCATTGTTGTTGTTGTGTTTTCAGCATAGCAACATGCAAATCACCACAGTACAGCAAACTGACAGACAAGTGTGGTACCTAT